AAACCCAACATCTCTTAGATCATTGTCCCCTCTGGCTGAACCCATGGAGAGCTCTCAACCTCCTTGAGAAGAGAGGTACAAGTCTTGAAGGAAATCATGGTGTATCCTCCCTTCCAAGACACCATTGCTGGACCCAATTGTTTTGAACAATTTAGGGAAGCTGGGGTCCAGAAGCTAGTTGGGTTGCAGCTATAGAGAGCTCTGGAGGAAAGAGATTATCTAGATTCTTTTCAATTGAGTTTCAGGCTGGGACATAGTACTGAGATAGCACTGATCACACTATTTGATTATTTCCAACACAGCTGGGAGAGTGGTAGTGCAACCATCCTGGCCCTTGGACTCTAAGCAATCTCTCTACAGATCACACTATCTCTCTGGACTAGTTACAGGGTTTGGGAATGGGCGATGTGTTCCTGGACCAGGAGACTTTCTTTATACTCACCCATGTCTTAGTCATCTTATAATGGTTCTGCCATTATATATAATGGTTCATTTATAATGGTTTTGCCTCTTCACGAAAGAGACTTCACTCCTTAAAAGCCTGTTTTCTCTGGAGCATTCACTTTCCCTCATATGACCAGCTTGCTCCTCTCAGAAGGCAGTTGAGGTTTCAGAGTTACAGGACACAATGGCTACCAGTGTTGGTTGAAGCTTTTCCATGAGCCTGTTAATTAGCACCATAAAAGTGCTTATGTTCCATTAGCCAGTCCATGAAGGAAGATTCCCCTCCCCATCCACCAGCCCTTTTCCTAATGAGAGCTGGAAGGGGGACACTTACAAAACGTTGCTTTAGAATAATATTCTGCTTTGTCCCTGCCGGTAACAAGAGCTGACAGGATCACTACGTCAATTTCTCTTCTAATTAGCACACTTCCAGCTTGGTCTGAGCCAGCAGCCAGAGAAAAGCGATCAGACAACCATACCGAATCACAAACATAAAGAGGCCCATTCCCTCTAATTAGGTGAGACAATCCCTCAGTCTTTTCTCGGCTGGAGCTTGCCCATAAGACTCTCGCTGTTTTGGTAAGTCCCAGCAACACAAGTTACATGTCAGCCCAGGACACTAATAAGCCCCTAATTGTCTTCCGCTTCACACAGCTCTTACCATGGGTCCAACTTCAGGGAAAATTCCCCTAACAAGCAACTGCCAGCACGGCCCTGTAGTATAAATACAACACAACATTTAAAAAAAGAGAGAGAGTGAGCAGGCAGCGAGGAAAGAACCCCTTGACTACAACAATGCAGAGGGACACAGGCCAGCATGCCAGACATCAATTTGTTATTGCCAGGGTAAAGTTGGTCCTTGACCCTTCCCATTCATCCTCCACTCTTGAGCCATCAGTCCACATTTTTCATCCCTTGCAATTGTTTTATTGCCTCTTTCACTCCTCTTGTTCCTTTCATTTTACCATACATATTTTACTGGAATTTGGACTAAGGCTTACTCCTGTGACCAAGTCCTCATGAGTGTGGAATATTAAAATGCCACACAACTTCTGCTATCAGGGCAACTCTGCACATCTGTTGCTTAGATAAGTTCATCTTTGTTAGAAAACAATTAGAACACATAGAAATGTGGTAGTCCACAAGGACGGAGACTTATGAACTGGGAACTATGGAATGGCTAACAGATACAGAGGAATTTTTACACAAAAATTGAGGTTTTGTATTTTGAAACTCAAACAATATACCAACCAATTTGATCAATCTCCATTGTCTTGTTTAATGATGCAGACTTTCTTAAATTTTGACTCAAATTGCTAAGTATTTTACCACATTGTATTTTGTATTCATGACCACAATCATGATATCATTTTACAAAAAATAACTGTTTTTAATGGATTTACTACAAAGGCTGATGTTTAACTGAATTGTCATGGGTGACAAAGGAGACAGAAGCTAACATTGTAAGCAGGATGGTTGCAACATGGACTTTTCTAGTCCAAATACTTATGTAATCTGCAAATAGAATTATACATTTCATCTGGAGTATTAATAATGACAAAATATCAGGAATTTGTGGAGGATGATTCTGAGAGACAAGTGCTGCTTCTAAAAAGAAATTACACAATTTATAAAGTTGAATAAATATTGCTCATATTGTCCTACAAAAGTTGTGTTTTTATAGTCACTTGTTCAATAAATGGTCTTGTTTTTGAAATCTTGTTCAATAAATGATCTTTGTTTTTGAAAACTATGCAAAATAGGAGCCAAGTAGACCCTTTATGAGAATTGTCAACAAAGATGGAACTAACTGAATTCATAATTTTCTGATTATGTTGTGAAGCTGTATTAGTCTGTTGTATGCATGCAAAAGCTAGGATCTTAGAGCATGTCAGAGATTTTATAATTTTTACATCAACTTTTGTAGATTCCAATTTACTTTATCAGATACCTAGTTGTTATGTACTCCCGGTAGTTATTAGGGTGTGAGGTAAGTAACAAAAATGTGGTAAGGATAATTGCTTTGAAGGTTGAAAATAGACATTAAAATATTTAGGACATTAACACAAATATAAAGGAGTCAGACTTTTCCAGCAAAAATAAGATTTGTGCATTATTTCAAATGTATTACTATGAGAAAGTATATTTAGAGTTTATTGTGGAAGAGAGATTAGGATTGGGGGGGAGAATAAACAAAACAAAAATAAACATAGATGAAACAATCATTACACTGGATTATTTTAAAATGTGTGGCAATAATACAAGTATCTATTTAATATATCAGAAATTATTAAATTTCTAATTTAATGAACTGTTTGTTCTTACATTCTGATCTGTCTTTTTTCTTTTCAAGAAAAACATTGAAAAATGAACAGCAACTATGAGTTCGATGGAACTGTGAATCAGAATATTCAGAGTGAATTTAGTCCAGTGGATGTTTTAAATGAGGGTAGGCAATATATTTCCCATCACCACCGCTTGAACCTGTATGGCACAAACCTCAGTTGTGGTACAATAATGTTACACTATTATCTTGTTTTTAATCTGTAACATTAGCTGCCTGGGATTTTCAGATGCTAAAATTTCCAAGGAAGTTATAAAATGATTAAAAATGCTCTATGTGAATACATAAGAATTAGATTTCATAATTATTTCAGATTTATAATAATTTTAAATTATAATATTCATTTAGAGACGATTTGGAAGACCAGAAAGTCCTTTGCATTATAGCAGTGTTTTTCAATCTTGGCAACTATAAGATGCATGGACTTCAACTCCCAGAACTCCCCAGACAGCATGTGAAAGTCTGTGAAATCCACATTTTAAAGTTGCCAAGATTGAAAAATCACTCTTATTTCTATTCATGCCATACTTATTCCAATGGTATTTTAACTAGCTTAGAAAATAGTGGCACGGATTTCTTAAGCTACTTAGGAATTTTTATATGTATTTTTCTGATTTTATTTACAATACATTTTTCTGTTTTCTCACAACAAAGATATGATACAAATTGATTTTCTCTCATGTTAGAGGTATTTATCCTGGAATGATGTTGATGACTATTCTCAGTCCT